AAGAAAAACCTGAATATAATGTACCTTTTCTCTTAGCAGTTAACACCTATTGCCCTGTACTCACTATCAGATATGGAGGTAGTGTTTAGAGCAGGATGAAAGTTTTAAAGCACTAAAAATGATATAAAACATCTTCACTAGCCAAGAGTTTTCAGTCCGCTCTGCTCCCCATTGGTGTATTAAAAATCTAAATCACGGTCCCGCCTTCATCAGGAATCCATCCGTAATTTCTACTGTGGCAAAGTAGCTTTTGTAAGCAAATCACCAATACTTTTATGTTTAGCATAATTGCAATCATTGGTTTTGTTTGAAAGATATGTTTGCATGTTTCATCTTTTAAAACCAATGACCAGTATTTTAATAATTTGGATTTCAGACCTTTGATTCTTGGGTCATACTTTGTAATTAGAACATTAGGTATTTCCTTTGTTTTCTTGGTTTTATGTAACGTTATGACTCTGTTTAAAGCTAAGGATTCATTAATAATTGGGTCAATCTCAGTTCTCTCGTTTTTCTTTGGGGAGCATCTTCGCTAGCCAAGGGTTTCTGATACACTACTCTCCTCAAAAACCCTTGGCATACGGTGCTGACAAAAGACAGGATTGTTTTTGTCACGTGATCATGATTCTTACCAAGTACGCACAGATTGCGTCATCGACAGAAATAAAAAGCGTATTTAAAAAAAAAATGGTTTTTAAAGAATAATTAACAAGAAGGTATTGAGTTATGTTAATTTGTTATTTAAACATGTAAAAATGCAAATCTACATCTTCAGTATAGATTCTTAATCAGATATTTTGCACGTTGCATTAGAAATTGGATGACACCATATTGCTATTCATTGACTGGCATGTTATCTTACGGATCATTGTTTACTTGCATTTTACATTACCGATATTAAAGAGTCAAGATATATCCTGAATGCAAATATCGTCATTTACAAAAAACAATTGCTGATTGGTCGAACGAAGTCGATCAATTCCAATTACAACTTGAGAAAAAAATCCCAACTTTTTTTAACACCGTATGCCAAGGGCTTATGAGGAGAGTAGCGTATCAGAAGCCCTTGGCTAGCGAAGATGTTTGGGGAGCAGAGTGGAGCAAAAAACCCTTGGCTAGCGAAGATGGATATAAAATGGCCTTTTTTCTTTTGTGCACTGCTTCAGTTTAAGTACACAAAACATTCTCATAGTGCTGAAAAAAATCAAATGCCAGTTATGGTGGAAGTGCAATCATTCTGTGCTCCACGTCCAAAATCTTATATAGTAAAACCTCATTATTTCTAACTTAATGGGACCAAGTAAAAAAAAAACATTGAGATATCCAAATGTTTGAGTTATTGAGGTTAAAACACAATGAGAGAATAGTGGTTGGAACTTTCAAATCACTTCAAGATATCCCTAAATTTCAAAGAATTTTTTGCATTTTCATTATATAATCCCCTTATAGATCCTACCTCCAGAACCCCTGATCCAGGGGTCATATATTTCACAATTTTGTAAGAAGGCTTAATGCTTATAACAATCATGCCAACTTGATGTCCAGGAGTATAGAAGATTTTACATGTATTAATTTTGATAGTGTAAACCACCCCTTAAGCCCCAGGGGGGAAGGGGGGACCATGAAATTCGCATTTTTTTTTCCCTTCACCCAAAGATGCCATATGCCAAAATTGGCTAAAATTGGTTGAGTGGTTCTAGAGAAGAAGCAGAAAATGTTCTAATGTTAATGCACAATGCACACCACACAACGACAGATGAAAACAGATAGCAATAGGTCACCTGAGACACGCACACACACACAAAAAAAATCATGACATAGAGGCATGATATTTTCTTATTTTTAAACTTATATTTGCACTTCATTCTTTTTTTTTTTGGGAAATGTGAAAGAAAACCCTATAGAAAAAAAAATGTAGCTTTATTCTTAAAATTTTCTGAAAGGCAACATGCTAACAGTAATAACAGACAAAAATATAAGACACAATCAGATTATAAGAGGTGTGCAGCATTTAAATTCACATGATAAAACCTAATTTTGCTGTAAAAGCAAGAATATATCAAATAATTCTGCAGTCTATACTGAATTATTTCTAAATTTAGCTATGGCTGTACCTGAAATATAATGCCGATATCCTGATCTTATACATCCTTTAGTTTCTAGTAAAACCCCCATGAGAATATAATTCATTTGTCTCCAGAGTTTCCCTTTACAAGACACACAAACTTAAACAGACATCTCCATTTTAGGAAGAACCAGTAAAAACAACTGATTTCTTTGTTTTACACAGATAATTTCAGCAAAATTTGTCAAGGTAACCACTTGGTATGCGTATATGTGAATGTACATCCTCAAGATTTTACAAGCATCATTCTATTAATGCCTTGACATTTTCCTGATAAAACTGACTGCTTTTGAGAAGAACAATGTAAACCAACTTCTCAGAAAGACCTTTGTGCTCTTTCAGTATTTACAGAGACTTTAAATGCACAATTGCTGGGACACATACAGATTCTTGTTACAAACACCTCTTGACATGACACAATGACTTGACTTCCCTTAACGTAGGTCGCAGGTTTGCTGAAGTCATTAAAACTGGGTACGCAATTTATATGATTTGGGTGACTTTCGTGTGCACATTTGATTATGACATCACCATGAAAAAGAAATCTGCTACTTATAACAAATAATGAAGGCTGAAAAAAATACACAGCCAAATGTAAGGATACTTCTAAATCTAATCTACGAAAAAGAAAACAAAACAAAAAGAAACAAGAGGCCCATGGGCCACATCGCTCACCTGAGTAACTTTGGCCATGCTGTTCATTACCAGACTTCCCCCTTGTAATACCTATTGTGGCCCCGCCCTACCCCCGGGGTCATGATTTGAACAATTTAGAATCTACACTACCCCAGGATGCTTCCACATAAGTTTCAGTTTTTCTGGTCCAGTGGTTCTTGAGAAGATTTTTAAAGATTTTTCCTATATATTTCAATGTTTCCCTATTGTGGCCCCGCCCTACCCCCGGGGTCATGATTTGAACAATTTAGAATCTACACTATCCCAGGATGCTTCCACATAAGTTTCAGCTTTTCTGGCCCAGTGGTTCTTGAGAAGAAGATTTTTAAAGATTTTTCCTATATATTTCTATGTAAAACATTGATTCCACATTGTGGCCCCGCCCTACCCCCGGGGGTCATGATTTGAACAATTTAGAATCTACACTACCCCAGGATGCTTCCATATAAGTTTCAGCTTTACTGGCCCTGTGGTTCTTGAGAAGAAGATTTTTTAATGACCCCACCCTATTTTTGTCTTCTCTTGATTATCTCCCCTTGTGAGGGTACTTGGCCCTTCATTTTAACAATTTAAATTCCCCTTCACCCAAGGATGCTTTGTACCAAGTTTGGTCAAAATTGGCCCAGTGGTTCTTGAGAAGAAGTCAAAAATGTGAAAAGTTTACAGATGGACGGACAGACAGACGGACGACGGACAAAATGTGATCAGAAAAGCTCACTTGAGCCTTCGGCTCAGGTGAGCTAAAAAACGGTAAGAAAACAGCACATAGAAACCAGAAGTCTCTGATGAGACTGTAGCTCTACTGGTCTGTACATATAACAAAGGAAAAGTAGCACTTGGATTTAAAACTTTGCAACACGCAGCAATAAATAGAATAATGTATCTTAATGTAGTCTACTTGTGCGCCAAGTTTTATTGAAATCAGACCAAAACCGAAGGAGGAGTAGCCTTTTAAAGAAATTTCACAGAAATTTCTATTTTTAGTGACCATGGCAACACCGTTCATCTAAATTAAAAACCGATAAACTAAATTATGTATCTTAGTGTAGTCTACTTGTGTGCCAAGTTATATTGAAGTCAGACCAAAACTGTAGGAGGGGTAGCGTTTTAAAGGAATTTCACAGAAATTTCTACTTTTAGTAACCATGGCAACACAGTTCATTGAAATCAAAAACCAATTCACTAAATTATGTATCTTAGTGAAGTCTACTTGTGTGCCAAGTTATATTGAAATCAGACCAAAACTGTAGGAGGAGTAGTGTTTTGAAAAATTGTTTACAGACAGACGGACAGACAGACAGACGGACGGACGACAGACACCTTACTATCGCATAAGCTCTTCTGGTCTCTGACCAGTAGAGCTAAAAATAAACTAAAGGATTGATTGTTGTTTTACATCCCTTGCGAGTTTTTTCACAAGCATGAGACTACAAAGATCATAAGAAGAGAAACATGTCTAATAATCATTTCATTGGTATATTGAATTATTATGATATGATTCATGGGTCATTTGAAAGCAGATAGATGTGAATTTCTTTTTTGAAAAATTATTTTATCTTGTTTTTCTGCACTGAATACCGGAAAGATATTCACGGCGTCAAGCGTGACATCGCGATATTTTATAACGTTGTTCTTAAAAATGTTACACTTTGCAATATAAAAGCAATTAATATCCACATTTAAATTATGAGAAAACTAACCCGAAGACATATTAATATTTTCACATAGATTTATTTAATTCTGTGTTAAATTACCAAAGGGGAAACAATTTCGTCTGCACCATTTAAAAGTTATTGATATTTTTGGAGAAAAAAAATGCCTCAAAACGAGCCAAAAACGATGTTTTTCCTATAGAATTCAATAGAATAACATCGAAAATGTTATGAAAACAAAGGCATGTTTCGGATTTAATCACACATAAACGATGCAGACGAATTCTATAAAATTTTCAAAGAATATAAAACGAAGGTAGAGAATTCATATGACTGATTTCATGGTATGTTTTCAGACACTTAAAAGGCCTGCAAATCAGCGACCTACGTTAAAGGTCACAGGGTTTTTGTTTTATTTAACTTTTATTTAGCATCACATATTTCCTAAAAGTTTTATAAAATGAATTGTTCAATTCAGAAAACTTTTAATTCCTACTTTTTAATTCCATGTTTGACATACTTTGACTTAATACATTAGATCAGAGTATGTTGTGTAAGCTGACAATTCAGTTAGGGGTTGTTTTATGTCTTATCAGGGTACTGAACAGGAAGCGAGTAGGCTCCTGGCCTCTCAAAATAGTCCACAGCTCGAATACGATAAAACCCAGCTACCAAGTCATCTGTTAGAACTTTAACATTAGGTGCATAGTTAAAGGCTGTTATGATGGAAGTGTCATTGTTAATTTTTGTAAATGGACCACTCTGTGCCTTATTGGAGAATTCTACATCATAGTACAGAATGCACTTGGTGTTTACACAGTGATCTGACCATGTTATCAAAACTTGGCCAACAGTGATGTTGTGGACCACAATGCCCGTCACTTGGTCTGGGGGAAGTTTGGATTTTGCACATGCATGGATTAGTATTACTCCTGGCTGTAATAGTTGTGAATATCTGTGTCTGTATATATGGGAATCTTTCTTTTTAATAAAATATTTAACAGGTGAAGACATCAGCCCTTCTTGAGAACGCATTTCCCTGAACTGCTGAACAGAAGGAAAAGATGGTTTGCCCTGTGTCTGCCACACACCATAAGGATTTGTAACAGTATTGTCAATGTAATACTCCACTATTGCAAAGTCACCAGATTTGTCCAAATTCAAACTCACAATTATTGAATCTGTCCTCGTGAGGGATGAGGTGTCATTGCTGCTGTATATAAGCACAGCTACTTGCAAAGCATCTGAAGATGGAATACCTTTGTAAGGTACATGAAGACTTGCTAGTGCACCCACATTGCTATCATTCAAAACAATATTGTTACCAAACTCTCCTGAAGTAGTTAAGTTTACGTGTAACTGTTTGTCTCCCAAAAGTGATAATGCTGCCATTACAGTGTAAACTGGCTTTAAAACTAACTGAACATACGGGGTTGCTGTATTGTTCATTTGGAATCTTGCAGTCAAAGTTCTTTGAGTAAACTGATGTGGAACATAGCTCAGGAAGGCGTTATCATTACTAAGAAGTGAGTAATTCATATATGGCGGTTGTTTAGCCAAGATCATGTTCTGATGTTGGGCTATAACTTTAGCAACCATAGCAGCATAAGTGGAGTCTGCACGCCATGCTAGATCTTTATTCCAACCCACCATCGGATCTGCCTCATCATTAAAGAAAGGAACCATGGAGAGAGATGGAAATCTTTTCTGAATTTCTGACACTGTTTTAAGTTCATACTGATAAATGTTAGCTGAGGAACCATCTCCTTTTCTGTGATATGACAGAAAATCTATCCTGTTGCCTTTTTTGCCTGTGAAGAAGTTTGTCCCATTGACAATATGATTTAGGAGAGCATCAGAAAACTTGGTATTTCCAGGTCCATCACAACCATCCCCAGGACCCCCAAACTTCAGGAGGGGACTGGCTGCTAGCAAACCCTCTGAACAGGCATCATAATAATTCAGAAATCCCTGAACTGAAAACTTAATGTTGTCAAAATCATGACAATCTGGCTCATTCCAAGTCTCAAAGTTCCAATCCATGACTTCGCTCAGGCCAAACTGGTCTATGTAGTTTGATGCTAACTGGGTTATCATATCCTTCCACATGTATACCTGTGTTGAGTTATCAAAGTCATTGAAAATGCCTGATGGGTTTCCCATAAGTTCAAATCCTGGTTTTAAACCATAGGTCCATAGCAAACTGATCACATCATCCAATTTTGAAAAATCATAAGTCACATTGCCATTGGTTTGTTTCACATTAACAAGCTCCAACAACCAATGAATTCTGACCTGTTTAATACCAGTGTGAGGAAGTGAACCAATCAGAGCCATGTTCAGTTGGACATCTTTGCTAAATTCAAATTTGTATGCATCCTTGTGAGGCAATGGCGGAGAAAAGCCTGTACTCTTCCAGAAATGTGTCAAATCATTTCTTACGTCTTTTGTATCAACATTCAGATTATATTCCACTGAAGTCACTAGGGATATTAAGGCAAAAAGGCTACAAACCACCAGAAAAGTTTTTCCTAGGGAGGAACTCATTCCGAGAGTCTTAGGCTGTCCATCTTTTGTTGGAGGATAAATAAGTAGTAGATGATCTCCAGTTTCTTTAATCCCCTGTACTTGATAACAGTTGTCACAAGACCTACAAGGGGGTTGAAATGACCTTGCTGAAGTAATCTTTTCTAATCTTGTTATTATCATTTAAACATAAACAATACCTGTACAGTTAAACTTGATGCACAATTTCAGTAAAAAGAAATGCTGGATGAAACAAAAGTGTAAATTTATACACTGCAATAATTAGCTACAATGTATATCACAAGTTGTGATGCTGGTTTTGATACACCTGTATAGGAGGAAAATCACTTGTAATTTTCATATTCACTATATTTGCACTCTTTTCAAGTTGTAAATTTAAAAAAAACAATGAATATAATTGTAAAACAGTAATAAGTAATTTAATATACTATTATATAAAACACCCCTGACTTAGCTCCAAATATTTATTACCGGTATACGCCTTTGAATTTAAACCTCTATAGAGTTTACCATGAAGTACATTTTATGATTAATTTAAAAAAAAAAAAATCAGAATTTGTCCATGATTTTTTATTTTTTATGAGTTTAAAAGAATATCTGAAGACAAAAAAAAAAAAAAGAAAAAAAGAAGAGAAAAGAAGAAAGCAAATCTTGGATAAGTTCAGTTCATTAATTTTTCTCCCTCTTCAGTTTTTCAGACAATTATGCTTCAAAACCTTACAAGGAAGCAAATTTCTGAGCCACAAATCAATACACTTCATGATACTTGGCCATCAAAAAGCAACCAATACCTGGACTATGACCCATAGAACAAGAATTCAGGAAGAATAAATACCACAGTTATATCAAATGTATGTATCAGAGAGAACACAATGTCTGAGCACAGCAAATCTACAATCTGAACTGTGTGATTCATTATTTTGTACATGCAAAATTTTTGTTTAAAAAAATATCTTTAAAAAACAGCTCAACCATGCCAATCTTTAATATGAACATACACCTCCAGTTCTCACCATTATAAATCATTGTGCATTGAATATTCATCGTAAAGTAAAACTTGAAGCAAATGGCATCCAAAAACAGATGCATATATTTGTCTTATTATCAAAAGATTTATGCTTTTGTTTTTTTTAATTTTCTCTTTAAAAAGAATGATTTTTCTTTATGAGCAAGTTAGAAGAAATTGAAATGATAATGAGTGTATTATGGTAAGTTGTTCACATCATAAATTATATACCGATCTAATCAGGGACAGACAGGAATTTTAACTATCTTGCCCTATTATGTTTGAACTTAGTACTTGGAACTCTTGAACAGTCATTGGTGTGCTCCTAATTAATTTATGGCCACCAACATATGACTTCATAAGTACATGTATTACTATACCATACACAAATTTCAAACACTAATTCATGATTGCACCAAGCAGTGCATGTTATAGATTCATATACAATAAGTATCAACTGAAGGCAAATATATAAATAAATACATTACACTGACATTTTAGCTGTAGTGTATACGTTTAATAAAATACAGAATGATAGAGGACTTGTGTATGTTTTCTAGACTAGTTTTAATGTACAAAACTAAATCTATTTTCCATTGAATTGTAGGTCCATGTCTTATTTGGTCAATAACCCTTGCTCATATGTGGAAAGTATACTTGTAAACAAGGTCTACTGTATTTATATCCACATATCTTAACCATAAGTTAATTTAAACCAAATCAACAATTACAAATTTGAAGAAAAAAATTGAGTTCTCGACAGCACATGTAATATACTATTTAGTCTATTTACTGCTTACGGCATGATTTATCAAATTTATAAATATAAATGCATACTTGGTAAACATAAAATTATCATAAAATTAAAACAATGGATTTCCATTTGGAGGAAATTTTATGAAAACCATGATCATTTTCTGGGTTTTTCCAATTTGTTTATTTGATGTGTGTCAATCAAAAATCACACCATTTAGTAAAACAATGTGTCAAATTTATAAAGTCAAGAAAAAAAATTTCTACTTTAATGTCAAGAAAAAAAGGAATTAAGCAGGAAAGTAGATATACTTACAAAGAGGTTGCTGAATCATCCAAGATGGAACCACATGGACCAAACTTGCAATTTGGCATGACACCATACAGAGACTTTGTTCTCCTGAAAAGTCAAAATAAAGAGTTCATTTATTGAAATGTATACCAAATAACATCGAAATTAAAGTATGCCACTATGAAGCAATTATATCACCAAATGTCCATATGTACAAAATAAAACAAAATAATAATTTATGAAAATATGTTCAATCTCTAATCCTATTCATTTAAAAACAGATGATGTAACACAGGAATATTTACATCAAGTTTTTGTTTTTTTTTTTAAAAAAGATTAATTCAAAGATGTTATCGAGTTAGTGGGTTAGCTTAAACATAACAGAAGAGAAGAAACGCTTTGTTTTTTAAATAAAACAAAAAAAAAAAACAAGGTCTTTTAAAGTTTATTCATCCTTTAGTAAAGTACATATCAAAAATACCAAACCTAAAAACACAGTTTCTTTTTCTAAGATCCTAAATTTTAACATTCTCTATTCCATTCATATTTAAACCACATGATCAGCTGTTAAACTTTCCTACACAGTTTATATCAAGCTACACCTGTGTATTCTTGTTAGCATAACAAACTGCTGGCCTTTTTTCTTGGCAGGCATCAAAGGTTCACATGCATTTATAGTAAAATTAACAATAAATTATAAACAAATTTGTCATTTTCTAAGAATTAACAGTGCTTTATTTGCCCTTGTTAATAAATGAATGATTGATAAAGCCTGCAAGTTAGGTCTACTTGTCACCTTACTTGAAAGGGGGATTCTTCCTACAAAGAATTAAAAAAGCAAACATTTCTGTAATTAAGATCAACCAAATAAAAACATATACACCAATAAGGCAATAACTGAATAAAACTGTTTCTTTCAGCATTCTACTATTCCATGTTTAGCAGATGTTATTATTTAGTTATATATATAGAGCAGGGTTGTCCTTAAGACCAGGGGGCCAGGAAATTTTCCTGCCTATAATGAAGTTATCCCCAAATTCTTCTGGGATTCCCCCTCATCCCCCTGTTAAGGGATGAACCCCACACACCTTTTTACTTTTTTAATGTCCCCTGCTATTTCAATTCTTAAGGACATCCCTGATAGAGACAGTGAAATTTTGATAAGAATCTAAGTCACGAAAGATAGTCACGATTGAAGTGTCCATTTAACTGATCTGCAAATTTTTTTTAAATAACTCTCTCCTTAGAATAAAAAAAAAAGACTTTACATTTTTATGAAAAAGAAATGAATTTTATACCCAAGGACATGCCAAATGTAGCCATAAGACCGATTGACTGACTGTAATTTATGAGGTCAGAATCTACTGTTAAAACTCTTAGCACACAAATATACAAAATAACATACATACAGATGAACATGTAGTGGATTTTGAAATACAACGTATTTATTTTGAACTATGAACAAAATTACAATATACCCAGAGTTGCAGACTGCAAACTTCAAATATATATTTACAGCACATTCAGACTAGAGACAGATAGCTGACATAAAAAAAATATAACTAGCACCTGCTCTTTGTATGGTACTTACCTTTAGAGCTTATATACACATGAATTGGAATTCAATGTAAGGCCTAGGAAAAAAATGTTTGTTTACAGTTACCCAACTGACCCTAATTTTATGCATAGACCTTTTGTTTCATTGTAAAAAGGTCACTTTTTAGTTGCAATTTTTAGAGCTATCAGGTAGACAGTTTTTTTAAAAAAAAGGATATTTTATGGCTAGATGAGAGCTTCAACCTTTTTTTTTTTCATAGAATTTCATTTCAAAGTTCTGCCTAATTATGTAAAAGAAAATTAAAAGAATAAAAACAAAATCCTATCTACTGACCCTACTTTTTATTAGCATGTAATACAGTAGTAAACAAACTTTTTCTTTTTCTTAGGCCTAATACAACACTGCCACAACATCAGATATAAAGATCAATTTTCACCAGATTTTTTTTTCTTCTCATTTCTGAGCCCATGCCTTATGCATAATTATATTCTGCAATACGTTGACCAGAGAAATTAACACTTTACTTCAGGTATCACCCACTGATCACTTTGTTAGCTGATATCAATTTGTACATTGTTGTATACATGTAATCTTATAGGTTTGTTTAGGTTTTTGTAATATGTAAAAAAAAATATCTTAAAAGAAAATAGACATGATATATTTCTAAAAATGGATGTCCCTTTGAATTTGTACTTTTGCATAACCCTTCTGATTGTACACAAAAGAGAGTATCCAGTCTTGATAATGAGGTACAATGTAGGTCAAAATAGTTGATGTGCTATGTACTGACATGAAATGATAGCTGGTATATATATTCTGTAGGTAAGGAACATGATATCAACATGATCAATGTCCTAAACATTATTACATGTATCATTTTGGAACACTGAAGCAAAAAAGTGCAAAAACTACGTATACTGTTTCACTTATAGGAAAGAGGAAGTATACTATAGGGCCTAGTTCAAACAATTCATGGAGCAATTATGACTAAATTTGACAAAAGGAGTAAAGCAGTTTTGTTTTTCAAAATGATTCAATCAGTGTACTTAACGTCTTCCTGGTTCTTACTTAACATGATGAAATAGATAAAAACTTGACAGAAGCTTAGCTGATACTTTGAAACGTATTCCACAAAAGTAAATACTGCGATAACTTTGATCTTTTATGGCACTTTTAAATTTTCAGATTTGGTGCAGTTATACCTTTTCCACTATTTCATGAATGTTAAAACATAAAAAGAAAACATGAAAATAAAACAACCTTTTTTCATGTGCTTGTTTTTAAAAGTTTTGAAGATCAAGTTTTGAACATTTAAAATACAATACAGTAACATTCATTTTCACTTTCTACCTCTTGCAACGTTTCGTATATCAAAACTAGAGCTACCCATACATGTATATAAGCAAAGAGGTGATATAAATACCTCCAACAAGGTGCCTTCAAAAAAGGACATATCTGAAATGCCATATATTCCTCCATATTGACCGACCCCTCCGCACGACATACACTTTAGGTCTACAAGATAATGCTCTATCAAATCTACTGAAAAATGGTCTGGACAAGAATTTTATGCTAAACCTCTATGATCTTGACCTTGCCCAAAGGATTCACCCAAGATTCAAATACAAACTTTGCTGCATAACCAAACCTCCAAATCTTTGCATTTCTAAATATTGTAAATAATGCCAAATGCTCTGTCATTGACTTTTCCCAAATGATTAATTCAGAGTTACAAAACACCTACTGCTGAAATTAATAAATGCATAGTTGATAAACATGAATTTCCATGATCCCTACATCACAAAGATGTAACCGTATGACAACAATTCTACATGGTAACAGTAAGCTCACAATTGATCAGCTCTTATGAATGTATTGGAACTTTTTTTATATATATATAGTACGATATTATCTATCATTTTTAGCATTGTCCACAGACAGCAAGAGAATGGGGAGACTGTAAGACTATACCATATCTAACCACACTTTAATCATGTCCCTACAACATATAAGAAAACAATTTTACCATCAGTACAATGATAACTCTTTTCATACAATTTGATAAACAGTTCTTCTTCACAAAAATTTTATAATTGTTATTTTATTTACTGTATCTTTTAATCTAAAGTGAGGAAATAATGGTACATAAAAATTTGATGTATAAAACATGCATTCTAACATAAATAATTAAATACTCATTATACTTGATAGGCAAGGCTTCCATATATACATGTATATATTTTTATACTATTATACCAATCTTAATATGGTACTGTATGTGTAACAGTAATATTCGACACCTCTAATGAATGTAAATAATTACCCTAATTCATTGCTACTGGAAGCAATATATTACTATAGCATTTTACTATACCCTCTAATCTTGCCTTTTATTGACTGCTCTAGAATCAAACATTCATATAGAAATTGCAGGATAACTAAGCTGCTCTCTGCATCATAAACATGCAGGATGATACAAGTAATCCTGTGTTAAGTGGTGTGTTATGTCATAGATCACACTTTATCACATTTTAAGGGCACATACAAGAAGTACCAAGGAGAGAATTTATTGCTCAATTGTCAGTCCTTCATGCCTGTTTTCTAATCCTTAAAATGTACCATCTACTAATTCATCTACTAAATTACTACCTAAATCATCTCACAAATATTACAACTGAATAGCATACACAACAGAAACACAAATATTTCATTATTCAATATTAATGCCTTTGCATTAGTAAACATAGCACAGTGAGTAAAAATTCACCACAACAAATAAGTTAATAATAATTAATAGCAGAATTTTTACCTCCCCTTTTCCATGTCTTGGCTTTTTTTTTTAATATAAAAAAATAAATTCAAGTATTATTATCAATATCATTATAAAAAAAAAAACAAACAAAACAACGCAAAACAAAAAAAAACACACACACACACACAAAACAAAACAAAACAAAACAAAAACAAAAACAAAATGAATATTTTCGAAAAATTAATTACACAATAAGGAGGGTTTAGTTGATTAATTCACTAAATTCTTTTAAAATCAGTTAAAGTGGAATGAACTTATTACTCTCTTAAATTAAATAACTAAATGATTAAAAATAATAATTGTCTTGGCAACTGGACATATTATAAGTACAGTATATGTAAATATTCTTAAACTGTTAAAGAAACATTTTAGCATGATGTGAATATTAGTTAAAAGCACACACAGATCTAAATATGCTTAGAATAATCTCTCTCTTTTTTTTTTAATTCAAAGCGTGAATTGCATATGTCTGGTTTGAATACTCAATATTAGATTTCACTTTTGACTGCTGTCAACAAAAAGAATTTAGCATCATCAAAAAAGAAACTTTACCTGGTTCTTGAAAATCTTGCATTTCTCCTTTTCACTCCATTTACTTGACTACCACCATCCGATTCGTCGGTGAAATTTTCACCCAAGTTAAATGTCACCATTTTATCGTTTACAAGATCCATTGACTCTGACTCCGAATTGCTTTTCCGCCTAATACCGTTGACTGGTGTGCTCATTTTCCTTGCTACTTGTTCTTTCCAGAAGGATGTTTACATTGCAGCGGAAGTCATCGTCTGAGTTCACCAAAGCGTATCCTAACCTATGCACCCCAGTCCACGTAACTAATCTAAATTTGACAAAACATCCTTTTTCAATTAAATTATTTCCAGGACTAACAAATCTTGAATTGGACAACAGCTTATATCATATCTACTGTAGATATGCTCTTAATCTTACTCACTCTACATTTACTGGAAGGCAATGTGCGAGATTATACAGATTGGATATCTAACAAAACGAAAATTATAAAACAACACACCCGATACTAAAAGGGAATAATGTATACAATAAAGTCATCTTTCCATTTAGAACACAATAAATGCAGAGAAATAATAGTAGAAGAAGGAAAAATAATTCACTTCATATTTTTCATAGTTCCTTATTTTAAAAAAAAGCTGAAACAAGAGCCACTTAACGCAGTGCGCATTTCATGACAAAAACAACTTTGCGAATACGCGTGTTTCAAATCTGTTTTCTTCGAATTTACCTGGAAACGAAACTAGACGGGAGATTGAGTCAAATTCCACAATTATGAGTGAAAATGACGAAGAAACGACTCTATGTAAAAACTGGTTGGTAATATTCTAAGCCTAAGGAGTTATTTAATGTCTAGTTTATTTTACATTGTCGTACAGACATACTTTGGAGTATCTAAAGCAACTTGCTTTAGATGTATACGTCAGATGTAAATTTAAATAACATATTTTCATTTGCATGTTTTTTTTTTATATCATTTCATTTGACAATAAGGATTCATAGTGTTCGTTTTGAAGTAATACTGTCATATATATTAAACAATATTTTATTATTTATTTTTCAATCAATACTGTAAACTTGAAAATTTCAGCTGTTTTTCTACTCTTATGATTTTCCTCTGGCTTCTCCCTAGCCTCCATGGTTTTGCGCCTTTCCTAACAATATGTAAACAATGTGTTATCAGCTCTCAGACAGAGCCAGAAAGATGGATGCTGGTCACTGTGCTCCAAAGCTAGAAATCCCCATCATGCATGAGCACCCCCAAGTTTTTTATGGGTGCCCATGTAGAATGTCAGACACCTCAGCCCAACGACACCTCGGCCCATTGATATTTCGGCCCAATGACATTTCGGCTCAGATGGGTTGGCCCAAGATTAAAGACATGTCGGCCCATACATAAGACACCTCAGCCCAAGCAAAATTTTACTTTAAAATATATATTTCCAATTTGGGGACTTGAATTTAAAATATTGATTGGAAAAAGTACATGAATAAACTATCAAGATTTTTTAAAAAAGATCTTGCACAAGCACATTGACGATATGCATAGAATAGGAATACAATGCTATTAATTAAAGTGCTAATTGATAAACAAACAAAATACCGCGGCGCATCATTTGGAGGGTCAAGTGCATGGTATATTGGTGACAACAGGGGTTAATTACGAGCAGATTTTAATTGGGAGACAGTAATTAAATACATCCAAATTCATTGAATATTTTTCATTTATTTCTTAAGAAAAACATTTGCTTCATAAATTTATTATCGTCTCTTATAATTAGTTTGAGTCCATTTTTCTCTAGCTAGGCTTCTTGTATCAAAGCAAGTACGTGAAACGTCTTTTCCATTATTTTTTTATTTTATTATTTTTTTTTTTTTTTTTTTTTTTGGCTAATGCAAGATTAACACGCGCAACCGTGATACTGGAGAAAAAAATTACATTTTCCGCAAGAAATAGATGTAAATAAAAGACTGATCTAATTGAGTTTGAAAAATAAAACGATTAGCCTATATCTATCAAAGACACCCCCCCCCCCCCCCCCATTTTTAATTTTAAAAATTTGTTTAATTGTTAGAAAGTTATTTTTTCCCATCGTAAAATTTTGTTTGGGCCGAGATGTCTTTTATATGGGCTGACGTGTCAACAATCTTGGGCTGACCTGTCAGGGCCGAGATGTCAAGTCTGATGGGCCGAGGTGTCGTTGGGCCGAGATGTCTGTCTACCCCCAAATACATGTAATAGCACCCCAAATTTAATTCAATTTTCCCGAAATACAATTCACCAGTGCCTAAATACATTTTATGAGCACCCGAAATACACTCCCCGAGTGCCCCAAGAGTTGTAAACAAGAATGATCATGAGTTAATCTAGTTTTGTAAATAAATCATTTGTTTCTTAAATTATAACTTGTCAATGTTAATACATACCACACAATGTGAAAACTTTTAAATTGGGGAGGGGGGGCTTAATGTAAAGAAAGAATATCTCATTATATTTATTAATGACTGCACAACTTTCATATGAACGTGAGTCAGTGGCAGTCTGATTAAAAATCAAGCCTTCACTAGCTCATTTTTATTTTGATTGTCGCGTGACAATCAAAATAAAAAGGAGCTAGTGAAGGTTTGATTTTCATCAGAGTGATTCAATGGCAGCATAGGTCCAAAAGAACATGAAAGAAGTGTTAAGTTCGTCCTGAAAAAGTTATGTTCAATTATTTTGGGCTCAGGATGTGTATTTGGGGCACTTGTGAAATGATTTTGGGGCTCTCATGAATTAATTTTGGGGTGCTCATACACATACTTGGGCATCCGTAAAAAAAACTTTGGGGCCCTCTTCTGGTTTTGGGGCAAAATGACGGTAACCTAGAAAGATCAGTTGGTAGAGCACTTGAATCAAGTTCAGGAGGCATGGGTTCAAATCCTGGTCTGGTCCAATTGCATTTTCTCCCTGTAATATTTGTTGCCATGTTCTGGTAGTGACAGGGAAAACATATCAAGGAAAAGTCTGGGTTGGTGTCTTTGGTGACAAAGACTTCAAGGGGGGAAGATTTTGTAAGGCAGAATTGATTGCAGGTTGCCAGATTGCTCAGTTGATAGTACACCTGCCTAAAGTCCAGGGGCCCCAGGTTCTAAACCTCCTCTTGTTTGTTGCATTTTCTCTTTTCCTGTTACATATTGCATTAAATATAACATCAGTGTTTGAAACTCACTATGAAATTAGCTGATTACTAATAAAAGTTTGTGAGCCTTGCCCAAGGTATGCTAGCCAGATAAAATTAAAATAATTTCCTTTTTCAAAAATTATTTTTATTACATTGTAAAACCATAAGTTTGTTGTGTTGTCTGCCTAAGGGCTGGAAAGTGGCAATCCTAAGAAATCTCAGCTCTTCTGTTAAAATGGTAATGTGCGTAGGATCAGTTAGTGTAACTTCAATCCCTGTTAGATTGACTGATGAGTTCTGATACCTGGCTTGTTACACAGTTCATTTGAGACAGATTTATCATTGTAAGTTTTTAATAATTTGTAGCAATTTTAACACCAACTGGGCATTGATACAAGCAAATTGGTTTGCCCACAGCAAAATTTATTATAAGTCACAGGTGGTCAGGTGTATTGTTATTTAAAACACTGAATATATGTACATACACTCTGCCTTATCTAGGTTTTGTGTTCCTGTTCTTTGTTTTCAGCAATCAAGTATCATCTTTTAGTGTTTTATTTAGATCACATTACAATATACAGACAATAAACAACTTATCATTCTAAGTAAAAATTGTTCTTTGATCCACAACAATAACAAAATCTGGGAGCAGTTTAAAGATGTCGTGACTTCTTCCTGTTATTAAGAGGCTTTTTACTCAAGGTCAATACATTTTTTATGTATGGTGGTACTTCAGACTAGTTCTGACATATATTATATGGAAATTCTAAATCATCTGTCTGTTTAATGAAAAAATAAGGATAATCTTTATCTGGGTATTAGTTTTAGACATACATGTACTCAATTATAAGATAAAGTCTGTTTCTGAATCAGAAATAATGTAAAAAGAGAAGTAAATAAGTTTAAATCAGATACAGTTGTTAATGTCATGACAAAGCTAGGATTCATCATCATCATTGGAAGTGCATAACTTTAACCCCTCCTCCCCCCCCCCCCCCCCTCCGCATTATCTTGTGTTATTAAAAGTTTAAATTATTTTGTGATCAGTCTTTAAAGGTTTTGAAAATTGCTTTTCAGTCGAAGACAGATTGGTAAATCAAATTTTGTATTGCATGAAATGCACTGCAAAAGAAACATTTCCCTTTGTGAACATTGTAACGAGCCGATTCCCAGAGCAGAAATGGAAGTTCACTTTGAGGAGATCCACGCCAAAATACCATGTCCCAAGTGTAACAAGGAAGTGGAAAAGCAGCACCTGGAAAGTCATGAGGTATATCTATACATAAATGTATTAGGTGCAAACTAAGGTCCATGTCAACTGTCAAGAATGATTGTATACCATTGGTAAATGTGACATGTGAAGGTCCAAGAATGATTCTTACCACTTCATATTTTAGCCATATTTGCTAACAGTTTAAAAGAAATTTAAAGGAAAATAGCTCTAGAATTTATCCAATATTAGAATGTGATAGTTTGTCATGAAGAGAGCTTTCCAGTAAAGATTTATATATTTAGTGCCATTGCTTATTGTGGTATATTGCTTTAATTTATAGGAATTCCTTCTGGTTTATGATAAGAAACTGTTCCACCCATCATCAGTGTCAAATGCAATAATAAGAAAAAAGATAAAACATTGATGTCATTATATTCCTTATATTTTTTATGTTTTAAGGAAGATGAATGTCTCAAGAGACCAATCAAGTGTATTTACTGTGAAATGGATGTGGCAAAGGGAGAGTTAGAAGAACACCAGGGATACTGTGGAACCCGAACAGAGAACTGCATTCGATGTGGACAGTTTATAATGGTGAAAGACATGGCTCAGCATGAGGAGTCCAGGTGTAACATTAGAGAAATCCAACCCAAGTACAACAATAACACACCTGTGGATATTCCAAATCTCCCCAGAAATGGAGCTGTTACAACAAACAGGAGACCAGCCCCTCCAGCAGTGGATACTTCAGATGATTTCCTGTTTGGATCAGGTGAATTAAACTCCTTCCAGATGGATGAGATCCAGAGATTATTGGGAGTGAATGGGATGGGACCTTCGCATCAGACAAGGGTTACTCCATCCACTCGGACTACTGCCCGGGGAGGGACCCAGGCTGTTAGTAAGAGTAAGAAGAAGGAAGTCAATATAGAGAGGAGGAATAGAAATGGAGAATTCAATCATAGTCAAAACCATGGTGTGTATACACAGTATTTATGATCTGTTTTTTCACAGATGCTTATATGTGTTATAATTTAATAACAGTCTTTACTTGTCATTTTTAGACCAAACCTTTTTGCCCTGTGAATTTTGTGGAGAAGCATTTCCCATTGATATGCTTGTTCTACATCAGGTGTGTATCTTACCTATGAAAAACTGATGACAGAAACAGTACAGTCATAAAAAGCTTAGAAAATTAAAGCTGTTGAGATAGAAACTGCTTCACTATATTTACTGTAGATTCCTTATTTTCTGCGAGTACTTATTAACGCGAAAGGACTCTTTAACATCAAATCGCGAGAATAATAATTTGTGAATGGACGGTTTATCAAGAGATTTTACATGGATTTCAGCACCATAAAAATAAAAGCGAGTAATTTTATTTCGCGAGTGGTGCTTCTCGCGAAATTACGTGATAATTAATTCCTCGTGTATAAATTGGAATCTACAGTATATCTTCTATCAAAGAAATATATTATTACTTCTTGATGACAAAATTATGAGTTTATTAAAATTGTGCATTTGCTATAATGTTCTCGCTTATTATACCTTTATAAAGATATGTATATTGTGATGATGGATAGAAAACATAACTGCATGTAACATGTTTATAAATTAATCCCTCACAGGGTTCCTGTACAGAGGACCAATTAAGCTCACTGATGGCAGACACCAATCTCAGAGAGGACTCTGACAACAGAACAAACTACCCCATTCATCCTGCTCAAAGACCAATCCCTAATGTCATTGATAATCTCCATGGTTACGATGATGATGATTCTGATCCTACAGGGTAATCATTTATACACACTCCAGCTGGTATTTGTGTTTCCTCACAGAGCCTGAAACTGAAAATGTATAATGAAATCAATGTTTCTACTTTGTTTGAAAATGCAGATGTGGATATTTTCATGTGCTATTTCCTCAGTTGTTGTATTATAGGTTTATTGATGATGCCATCCCAGTAGAACCACATGATGACCTGATGCTTCCGTGTGAATTCTGTGATGAACTTTTTCCTCAAGATGTACTTGTTCAACACCAGGTACTGTTTAGAAACGACAATGACCATTGACATAAAATGTTGATGGTCCTATTTGTCTTTTTGTCCAATTGTTTTAGTCCATATATACAAGTATTTTTGAGAAAGACCTGTTCACCTTTTCATTCCTGAGATGTATCTTGTTTCCTGAAACACCATATCTTCATGACAAGACACCCTTTGACCTTACCTAAATAACTTTTCTATTCCTTTTAGGCAGTCTGTGATTCTGATGCATTAAAAACTCCAAGAGTGATGTCCCCTGCAGTGAGAATCACAGGTGCCACCCCCAAAAGAGTCTCAAACACACTCAGGGGCAAACCACAACATACTCCAAATATCAATGCAATTATTTACGGCAAAGATCATCACGCAATCCCTCCTGGGCCTCACTCACGAGACCTGGATCACACATTACGGAAGTACGGAAGTTCCTCTTTTGATGTGTATGGTACCAGAGGTCAGCATCAAACAAATGAAAGTGAAAACATTTCTCCACCATCACCTAGAAGATCCACTTCTAGGACCTCAGTAAGCAGTGCTGCTCGCACCAGAAAGACATTAGGTAGCTTGCTCAGTGATAACGACTCCCCCATCCTGTCGTCCAGGCTGGCAGGTCCACGCAGGACAAGTGATTCAAGGGAAGCTACTGGATCCTTTGTTGGGTCACAAAGCTCTAGAAAGAACAATGTGAATTTAAATAATATTGCCAAACAGACTGCATACTCTTCGGTTAGCTCTAGTCGAGTGCCTGGTGCTGTATCAAAAAGAAATGGTATGTTTCCTCCATTACATGTCCCCAACCTTTAAACCTGTGTTTATTTTATCAGCTCTACTGCATTTATTTTATTTCTGCTTATGTATGGATACTGGTGGCACTCTTACTTTTTATGACTTTTTTGTGATCAGATGCAAAGAAAACAAATACAGGAGCCAGTCGTCGAGATTATCTTGATCCAGACTTAGAAGTCGGTAACCTTCGTCCATCAAGGTAGTCATTCAGATTACAAATATATTCAGAATCACATCAAAATATCATACATTTACATTCAAATAGGAGTGTTTAACTTGATTTTTAGCTCACCTGAGCCAAAGGCTAAAGTGAGATTTTTTTTAATCAAAATTTGTGTTGTCTGTCTTCCTTAATGAGTGTTTATTAATTTAAATTATATTTACATGTAAGGAAAAATCTTTTAAAAATCTTTGTTTTCAAGAACAACAGGGCCATGATTAATCATACATGTAGTAATAAGCAAGCATCCTCATGCAGTGCAGGTTCAGATTTGTTTTTTTCCCCTCCCCCCAGATTAGGGTGGGGTCAAAGAAGGAGGGGAATATATATGAAAAATCTTTCAAAATCTACTTCTTAAGAACAACAGGGCCATGATCTCTAGGTAGTTTACATTCAAGTTTGTTCAGATTATGACCTTTGAGGTTTGTTAGGGCCACCATAGAGGATACATATTTTACAAGATATTACTTTTAAAGAAAAATAAATAAACTTCAAAATCTTCTTCTCAAGAACAGCAGGTTTTGATTCGTCATATTAGCATGCAAGCATCCTCAGGTAGTGTAAACTCAAGTTTTTTCAAATTATGACCACCCAAGGCCTGAAGGTAGTGTGGGGACACAGTGGGCAGTCAAAGCTTTACATAGGAATATATAGGAAGGCTGGGGAATAGGGAAGGGCCACAATTGCGATCAAAACATTTCCTAAACATAAAGAGGAAAAAAAAAACTTTTAAAAATCTTCAGAACCTTGGCCAAGGTGACTCAGGTAAGCATTGTGACCCATGGGACTCTTGTCATAGTGTATGTAGAATAGTTATCTCATTCTTACAAATAAAAAAATTATTTATTCTGAAAGAAAAACTGTAATTTATTGATAAGTCATAGAATTTGATTTCAGTTTGATATCGGGTATTTTGTGAATGACTTTCAGACAAACTATGAACATATAGTTATTCCAGGTCACAAAGGAACTCGGAGGGTCAGTACCTACCCTCTACTCCCGGTCAGTCCAACGCAAGACAGAGGGACAGAACATTCGACTATGGTGGGGACAGGACTAGTAAAAATGTAAGTTATCTCAACCAGATTTTCTTGAACTGTAAATAAAATAGTAAATATCTGTATTTGTTTTTTTATTTATTTTGATTTTTTTTTTTACAGAGAAATCCAACAAAAAGAAGAGACCAGTATTAAAATAAAGACTACATTTGCATTTTGAAAAGTAGTAAACATTTATTCAGTTGTGAGATAACACAAAAAACTTGAACATCCCTTTTAGCAGTGATCTTTATAGAAAAGAGCTGGGTGTTTTGTTTTTTTAAATCACTGTAGATTCTACCCTGTGGATCAAGAACTAGCTAATTAGGCATTCATTTTTTCTTTTTTTTTTACTGGCAAGATTATCAGTCATGTTTGGTTATGATGTGCACGAATGGCACAGGTGTTGATAATGTAATGTAAATATAAAGATTTCACAAGTCAGGTGACAATGTTTAATTTAAAAAAAATAGTTTTCACCTTTTTGATTGATTACTTGAAACAGTACATAGATTTATTGGCTTTGGATAGGGATAAGAACCTCCGACAGCTATAATCCTCTGTAAATTTACATGTACTCAGGTTGTTAAATAACTTCATTTAAAGGCTACAATAGTACCATTGATTTAAAGTGCAAGTTAAGGCTGCATTGTCTTGCTGAAAATTTTGAGAAATGATCAGTTATCATTACATGTACTGAATAATATTTTCTTTCATTTCTGAAACAGTAATAAGTATCACTACAGGAAATTCAAAATGAGATTCCAGTTAAGGCTTACAGGTAAACCGTTGCTTTAATTGTACAGTTTGTTAACTGATCTCTGTTCAAATGAATAGTACAAAGTAGAACCTCCTTAATGGGATAGGCATTAAAGTTAGATTTTCGGAAATGCTATACATCAATTGTTTTGGACAAAATAACATTTTTTAATAATGATATATAAATAGTTTTGGTTAGGTATTGATAAGAAAAAAATTCTCTGATGCAAAACTGTGCAAGTTAAACATTGTTAAACAGTTGTACTATATGTTTTTCCACATTTGAAATGTGGCACAAAATTTCCTCTGTGATAATTTTCTGCTTCCTTCATAATCATGTTCTTCTATTCATGAAATTCATGGGTACATTTTTTAATTATTTATTTTTCTGTATTAAGAATTTTGTGATCATTTCTAATGCATGTTTTGTATACATGTTGATTTATACAATGATTTATATACCTTTGTTAAAATTGTGTCATCAGTGAGACATCACATTAGTTTAAAACATATATAAAAAGTCACATTTGCTGAAATAAAAATTTATAACATACATGTAGTTACATTGTACATATCTCATGCTCAATTAAGTTTTTTGAAGGGCTATAAGAATCACTGTTTATTTATATATGCAGATGCAAGGTTAAGTCAGTATAAAAATTATTCTGCATCAAAACCAGACTTGCAAAAATGTGTAGCTACAATGTATTGTATGAAACATTCTTTCAGATTCTGAGGTGCATCTGAGCTATACATGTATTTTCAGTGTTAAATTAGCTTCTTATGTTATATTATTTGTTATGCAGTAATGCAAACAAATAATAAAAGATAGGGGTTAATTTTAATTAGACTGCCTATATTTTACTGTCTGTTGAATGACTCGGGTTAAAGACACCTTGTAAGTCTGATTGCAGAGGAGCATTATTGGTGTAAAATCCAAACACATTTGATGCATCCATGGACATCAGCTCAAGTACCAGTATGCATGTACCATGGCCTTAGAATGCCCTGCTGGAATATATGTATTAGTCCTCATTTTATGCATCTAAATGTGATTCAAGGTTCTTTGAAGTTTTAGAAACAGTCTTTTAAAATGTTGATATTTTTACACTATAAATCTATGTTAAAAATACAGATTTAAAGAAATTGACTTTTCCTTTAATTTAGCCTAAGATACCAATGCTAATTAGTATGATATGAAATTAGATATGATTTATGGTGTTTTGCAATGATAGGAAACACTTTATAAACTATGCATTATAAAATAATTGAAGTACACAGAAGAAACTAAAGTACCGTATAAGTATAAAAATCATGCAATCATTGCATGGACAGACGGCTGTATGGATAGACAGGTTGACAAGGTGATTCCTACATACCCCCAAACTTTGTTTGCTGGGATGGGGGTGGGGGATGAAAGGTATAAAGAATAAGGAGCCATATCTAAACATTATCTCCCTTTTTTAAATCTCTTACTTAATCATTTTCAAGTAAGACCTTCAAAAGATTTACTTGATTCAAACATCCAACTCTAATACATGAAATAAAATTGGGGATCATTATACACTGATAGGTTTAGTTTCATGCACTCCAAAATGTTGAATACTGGGCAAACCAAAAACTGACAAGATTTCCTAGTACCCTGTCTCAGAAAAGGATTTTATTTTACTTGACGTACTACTGATTTGTACTTTTGTGACAAATGTGTCGTAACATACGTGTCATTACATACATGTCATTACATAACAACAGTAGAAGAACAGACATAATCATAAAATTCTTAACATTTAATTATTATGAACGTAGATGAAAATAAGTAACAACTCGACAAATTAATAAAAAATTGATAAAATATGAATGAGAATTATGCATTGTTGTGTGTACTGTTCTAGTCATGTGTACTCCCGAGTCTGTGATATGGCACGATATACTACACTAACTGTCTTCTCTCCACATCACAGGAAAATATCTGTAAAGGAAGTGAAAACACTCATAAATGATTTTCAAAAAATTAGAATTTATCATGGAACTATATTTGAATTTTGAAGTTATATCTTAAATGATAAGTAAAAGGTTATCTGATTTCCAACATGTCTCTCATTCTAGATTAGATTTCAAAAAAAAATTCTTCAGAATTTGATAAACCTAAATAAATCAATATTGTTTGTATACACTTCTCAAGTACATGACAAACACATCAGACAACTGGTAATAAAATATTAACATCCTTCAAAGTATATTTCTTTACAGACTGATGAGGTATGATGTATTGCATACCTACCATTAACACAGTGTTGCATCTATCTGTTTTTACATACCTACCATTAACACAGTGTTGTGTCAGGGTTCGAAATTCACTATATACAACTCGCAAAACGCGAGTTAGAATTCCCAAATTGCAAGTTAAAAATTAGGTAACTCGCAAAAACTTGCGAGTTGATTTTTTTTTTTTTTTGCATTGAAACTGTAGCAAAATTATATATGACAGAACACAATGCTTTTGATTTAAATCAGTAATTTAAATAAAAGTCACACTGTAATTGTATTTTGTGTATTGTAAAGTAGTTACTTTTTCCTTAAGTTACATTTATTTAATTTATATAAATTTAACTTTATATGAAAATTGCGAGTAGTCTTATAAAATTGCGAGTTCACTTTCTTGGTACTCGCAATTATTTGCGAGTTGTAATTTTTGGGAGTTTCTAACCCTGTTGTGTCTATCTGTTTTTACATACCTACCATTAACACAGTGTTGCGTCGATCTGTTTGATATGAGGTAGAGCTAGCTTGATTTTACGTCTATAATTGGGGTCTGGTCTCTTTTCCCCATCGTAGTAAAGTGGGTTTCTCTCTAGGTATACTGTGGCCAAGTTTTTCAAGGATTCCAGTTCTTTTAAGTCATTCCAGTCTGATACTTTATTATCATTGAACTGAAAAAAAAAAATCAAGTACAATTGAACTTCAGTATCTCGAACACTGATATCTCGAAGACCAGTCCAAGTGATTTGAAAGTCCCGAACTCTTATTCCTTAAGTATTTTACCCTGGATATCTCAAATCCTCGGATATCTCGAAGTATTTTCTTGGTCCCATCGAGTACGAGATAACGAGGTTTGACTGTATTTCATACATAAGTTATACTGTCAACTGGACAATTTATTATACTTTAATGGAATTCAACAAAACACACTCTCAAGGTCTCAAATGTATGTCAGTGGTAGACACAGTTAGTTTCTGTATGAAAGGAGGGGAAAAAAACTTTCGAAAGAACCACAAAGAAATTGCAAACAAAGCTCCTTTACCCAAAACTCTTCCATTTCAGCCAAGTGGCTCACATTTTCAATCTTTGGAATAAAATTAGCTGCCAAATCCAATGTTGTGAGTTTCACCTAAATATATGAACATATATTTTTGGTTACATATGTACATCTGAAAAGATAATATAGTGAAAATATTTTCTCTTAACAAAGACTCCAGAAATACATTTCAACTAGACATGAATGAATTTCCATGCAATATTGAACTCAAATGATTTCTAAAATGAAGGAATGCATCTTGACAAATTTACATGTTCATGCATATTGAATTTTAAATTAATGAAATTGTCAAGTTTATGCCTATATTTACAATTAGCAATTTGTCACCAACTTCAAAAACTACAACCACATCATTAACTCACATTGGCCTCTAAGCCTTCAACCTTCTGGATTCCATTGTGACTTGCATAGAATTCTTCCAAGTTCACAAGTTTGTCTAGGCCTTCTATTTTCCGTATTCTGTTACTCTATAAAATGAAAAAAAGACACTATTTATAACCTAATAAAATGTTCACAGACTATAATGAGGTAATGCAAAATATAACATACCTGAATACTAAGACAGCGTAGATTGACTAATGTGTCAAGTCCCTGGATTCGAGTGATTTTATTCTTTCCTACGTAGAGGTGGGTTAGATTTGTTAGGGTGGATATACCCTCTAGTGTCTGAAATATATACACATACATTTTTGAGAAATATTATTTTGCAAATTCTCTTTGCAAACTTTTTGATTTCCAATAGATCTTTATGCAAGCATCATATTATGGAAAATTTAAGTTTATCTTCTAAACAGCTGTTAAAAAATATATATATATATACCGGTAGCTTAAACAAAAAACATCACAAAGATTATTCATTGCTACACACCCTGATTTTGTTGGACCCGAGCTCTAACATTTCTAGCTGCACCAAGTGGCCTACATTCTCTATTTTCTGGATTTTGTTGTGTATGAGAAAAAGCTTTTTAAGTTTTGTAAGTGTGGCCAAACCTTCAATTTTTGGAATTCTGTTAAATGACAAGTCCAGTGATCTGAAATATTCGATGATACATTCCAGTAAGGACCCTCTGTATATATATATACAAATGTTTGTTTTTCGTGACATTCTGTAAGAGAGCTACGACTACAACTTTTAATTCCAATGTGACAAATAAACGTAAGCTTTGCATTAAATTGTGTCTCAATATTGAGAATATTGTGGTGAAAGGTTTCATATCAGAAAATGCACAAATGTGTGCTGGTTCTAAAACATTTTGTATATAAACATAATTTTATACTGTGCAATTAAAGTGCATCTTACTCTAAATTGACTAAAGCCTCCAAGTGTTCAATCTTTGTGATCTGGTTGTCGTAGAGGTCAAGGTCGGTCAGGGAGACAACCGAACTTAATCCCTCAATTTTCTTGATCAGATTCTGACGTAAACAGAGACTCTGTAAAAACAAAATGTCACGATTGACAATGGTTAAATATTTCTTCTTCAGCTTAAGTCAAGACACATATTGTTTACAAATTTAGGTTTTGAACCAGCAGAGCCTTACCTCACATTGTGACAGTCCATGTAAATTGCTTATCTTAGCAATTCTGCTTTGGTTTAAATCAATGACCTGTAATTAAAATTATTTTTAAAAAAAATTGAACAGGTACATTGAAGTTAAACTTTTCAAAAAGTCATTACAAATATAAGCATTACCTATTACAATAATGAAATATGTTCATAATCTAAATGTTGCTACCTACCACAGCAGCTCTGTCCTCTATCACTAGTTCCTTGGTCTCCCCCTTGTCTGGTTCTGGTTCATCCTCCTCCCCACTAGACAGGAAGTGGGGAGGGGTCTGATGAGCTGCCTCATTTAACTTTGCTACTTTTGGCTCCTCTGGAGATTTGGCCCTTTCTTCTGACATGCCTTAAAATTGGGGGAAAAGTAAGTGAATGATGTCTCACAACACTATTATATGGCTGCCAAATATTCTCATACTAATAATATGCAATATATTACTATTATAATGATTTTCTTCTTAGACAGTGAACACAGTTTTGAAAATAGTGTTTATAACAAACTGTCGATTTCAGATATATGTGATTTCAATAAAAATAAAAACTGACCGTTGGTAACTTGATTTCTCCTCCGCTCTTTGAAGTCTTTCTCGAATATTTTCTTCTGATAATAATTATCAGAATGTCGATCTCGAGCAAATTAATTTTAAGGTGCTCTGCTCCAAATTTCGCCATATTTTTTTTTTTTTTTAATAAATTCCCAACATTGATTTTCATCAACAACAATAGCATAAGATTCAAATGGAAAATAGTTTGAAACATGAAGCGTTGCTTACTTTTTCATAAATGAATATTATGTCTAATCATGATATGAAGAAAATTTGATATGGTGAATACGAAAGATCAATAATTTTTTATCTCAGGCCATCCTTAAAAAAAATATTTGTTTGGAATTGCCACCTGGGAGGTTTCAGACCCAGGTGGGAGGGAGGGAAATTATTTTTTTTTTTCAAAATTAAAAATTGATGATAAAAAAAATCTCAATAAGGAATGAACACATTATTTTCTGCCTTTTTGTAAAGGGTATCTCCTATCAACCAGGAACCCAGTTTTGCTTAGATCCTACACTTATTAATTGATTGGGTAGCACATGTGGTAACAGACCAAGAATTGATTGAATAAAAAAAATCTTCTTATTTTTGGTCAATAAAATTTTTCCAGGAGGGGTCATTTCAATGAGGTGGGAGGCAATTCCAAACAAACTATAATTTTATTTTGGCCTCACCCTAAAATTAGAAATATGAGGTATATCTGAAAATAATATTTACTATCATACCTATCTTATTCACATTAGAAAACATAACGAAGCGTTGCTTTTTAAATCAGCTTGTAAAATAAAAATGCATCCATCTACAAGAGTTATCTTTCCATCTGCAGGAGTTATCGTTCTTCAAAATATTTTTTAATGAAAAAAATATATTAATTAATTGATTTCAAAAAGTCTGGTTAGTCTGCTTCTGAAATTTCTGTAACAATTAAAAGCATTATCATAGATGGTCAATGGATTTTATCCAAAATGAAATTATCATATGATTATGTACTAGTAATCAAGTTTCCCAGCTTTAGCTACGTGGTTTTCATGAAGGCATATTTCTGTCACCCCCTCCTCATCCCTCACATATCTGATACAACTTATTATGCATATAGTTTTTGTCATGTTCGTCCGTCTGTCTGTCTGTGTTATCCGCAAAGACTTTAACATTGCCCTAACTTTTGATTGGTTGGAGCTATGGCATTCATATTCACAATTGTAATCATTGTGACAAGACCTTCCTTTGGATACCTACAACTTTGACCCCTTGACCTAGGAGTTTGACCTACTTTTGGAAAACTTTAACCTTGGCCATAACTTTTTAACAGTTGGTGCTAGGGCTTTCATTCTTCATACGTGTATTCCTTGTGACAAGACCTTTCTTTGGATACCAACAATATACAGCCAATTAACGTTGGCCTTGGAGTTTGACCTACCTTTGGAAAACTTTAACCTTGGCCATAACTATTGTACAATTGGTGCTAGGGCTTTCATACTTCACATATGTTATCCTCATGACAAGACCTTACTTTGGATAGCAACATTTTTTACCCTTTGACCTGGACCTTGGGATTTGACCTACTTTTGAAAAACGTTAACCTTGGTCATAAGTTTTGAAAGGTTGGTGCTAGGGTTTTCATATTTTACATGTGTATTTCTTGTGAGGAGGCCTTTCCTTGGACACCATTAATTTTGGCCATTTGACCTTAATCTTTATATGTTTGACTTATACTTTTGAAAAACTTTAACCTTTTCCATATCTTTTCAATGGTTGCTTCCAGGGCTTTCATATTTTTTAAGTATATTCCAGGAGACAAGACCTTACTTAGGGTACCAACATAATTATTTGATTTGCATTTGAAAAAGTTTAACCTTCGCTATAAGTTGCCATACGGGGGGCATCAGTGTTTCACAAACACATCTTGTTTTTCTTCTGATTTAGAATAAGATTATAATGATGTGTAAGACAATTATGCCTACATTACATGCAAGTTATTTATGTCAATGAGGAAAATATTTATATCAACAGTAAACAAAAATCATAAACTTTTTTCTTTCAAAAGAGCAGCTTGCAAAGTGCATTCATCATGTTCATGACTGAAATATTTTTGTCCATACTACTTATGCAAGATAATGCAGATAAGTTGCATGTTTGTTGCAAGAATTAAATGGACATGCAACTTAAATATCTACATGTAACATTAACGTTTACTTTTAACTTTTAATACGCTCCTAAAACTATTTTGATATGCAGTTTTATAATGTCGAACGTGTACGATGTATTCATCCCATATTTTCTTAAGTGTCCTAAGAAAGAATGTGGATAATTTTTGTTACATATTTTGTAATGTTTGAGAAATTCAAAATGTACCAAGAGAACCTTGTTTTAAAATGTCTCTGAAGGTGGTGTACTCTACGTACAAAATCATTACTACAATTTCAATTTTCAATTTGTTTGTTTATTTACCAATTAAGAGCCCTCATGGGGCAAAAAGAAAGTGCCTTGTAAACACTTTTATACAACTACATGTATCAGTATATGTAAAACACGAGTATGAAGTTGTTCACAGTCTACACCCATCCTTTATATTCTATACATCCCATTCTGGTGGATGTTGATTGATACGACTCAGGAATGAAAACTGTGAAGTATGTCTTGAATAATTTATCCTGCACATTGTTATGAACATTTATTTCGTCATAATCATCTTGCATGTCAACGTGCATAATTTGCATGTTGACAAAATAAATCAAATTTAGACGGAAAACAATAATCGTCAACGATTCGCATACCAACGTGAATTTTGCATGTTGATATAAACTGCAGATTACATGTAAAATGGGGAAACTGCTTTTTTGCCAGGAATCATTTTATAAATTTTTGCCGCTAATAGCATGCTGACAAAAATATTTTGACTGTCAACATAAGCAGTAAAAAAATATAATTTGAATGTAAGTGACAGAACAAATGCCAAGATAGGTATAAGATATGTTTATTAAATTGTTCTTTGAAAAAAAATGTTGCAGGTAATGCTTAAATAAAAAATTCAACTCCGAAAATTTAAAACAGTGCATTTGAATGTCTTTGGTTATCCTATAGATGAGAACTATGTATTTATTCACTGTGTATCCTAAATATATAATACTAGACATATGCAACTTTCAAACATGAAAAAAAATATTTATTCCTATCGAAAGAAAAAAATCCAACAAATTTAATTTTGTTGCTTCAAACTTTTTTCAGTACACTCAAAACGTGTCTCAGGTTAATTAAAGATTTGGAGATAAGTGAATCTTATCTTATAAAGGTTCAACAAACACCACAGATTTTGATACTTGGTAAAGAGACATTGATTTATCAGTTTTTTTAACTGTTCACGAACTTCGGATTTCCCTTATCTCAAAAGTCTGTACAAACATATCAAAATCGCAGGGACAAAAAAATCGAACTTTAGCAAAATGCCAAAGGGGAAATTACTTCCTTGAATATTTTTTCCGTGAAAATGGTGACTTAATCGAAATCAAAAAGATAATTAAAATGGACTGTCAGACATTACTACTAGGTCTCTGTACAATATTTAATCTTCATCCTGTGGTTGGATTTCTTCCTTCGTTTGAGAGCACGGGTGGAAGGTCTGATTTTACCCATGCCAGTATAACAGAAGATGGGATCTACAAAGCCGTTGCTGATGTCGTCATAGAAAAACTCAAACCAGGAACCTACCATACCAACAGTCACAAGGACAAAGTAGAAGAATATTTCAAATCGGGTAACATCAGTCCTATCCTACTTCATTTATTTATCTATTTATTATTTTTTTCCAAAACAAGACACTGTTTGAGTTTTAAAAATTCTTCTTGCAGATAGTATGGGCTTGTCACACTTTGAGGGAGTTGTTAAATACATTGTGGACAAAGTAAATTTGGCACAAAGGCAATATAGTACCGAGGCTTCTAGAACAATGAACTGTGAACAGATTTTATCAGGTAAATCGAGATGAAAGAGGAACTGTATGTAACAAAGGAGTCGAATACATTTTATATACCATGAATAAAAGCTGAAATTCAAACACTGTATTAATAGGATATATTTACATTCATTGGATAGTTTCTCATTTATTTTTAATAAATACCACTTCCACTTTAAGGAATCTCTAATACTGCCCACTAAAGATTCCATGACAGTTTATACTAATAGGGTGATCTGCCCTTTGGTGTAAAATGGAATAAACTGAAATCTACAGTAAATATCACAAATTGAAATATATTAAAGTATTCTTAACATTATATTAGCTTAAGATAATGTAACTGAAAACGCCATTTTCATGTTTTTTTCACAATGTAAGAAAACAGCAGTGATTTCTGTTAACTATAATACTTCATTGTCTTTTAATCTTTTTCCTGGAGAAATATGGCAGGTGCTGTATGTTGAAAACGAACTACATAGACTCAGTATGTACACATTTAAGTAATACAATTTTCCAAAAGTCCAAAAAATATTTTTCATAGATGTTTAGAGCTTCCTTAATCAATCCATTAATGCTAAATTAGTTAGAACCGGTTTTTCAAGGCAGCCTGCATGTAAGGGCTCTTGGAACGTCAATAAAAGATCATGACTACAGAATTTTACTTCATACGATTATGTTTATATGTTATGGAATTCCATATACGACAGCCAACTGCTTACTGCCAACTGCTCACTGCTTACTGCCAACTGCCACACATATTTGAATACATTTTCATATTTATATTGATATTTATGTGAATTTTCATAAAACCAGGCGCGGATCCAGGAATTTTTTTTACAGGAGGGGCCCACCCCAGTAAAAAAAAATCCAACCCAGAAATTTCTTGACAAGAAAAAAAAAATAACGTAAACTCCTTTCCTAAACGTGAAAAACCTATTTCGGCCGGGGTGTGTGTGTGTGTGTGGGGGGGGGGGGGGGGTTGACATCTTATGCTTCATATCTATGACTTTTCATATCAGCTTAACGCGGATCCGCGTTTTCTAGGGGGGGGGGGTGTTCCAAGGTCACTTTTAGTTGGTTTAGTATATACACTAA